TGTATGATTACATTCAACAGCGCTCAAATTCTAAATGTATTTGGTGAGTTTGAAAATGGTGTCATTTCTTAAAATATATGATTTTGAATTTCTGCCTCTAACATATTATTATGCAAATACTTAATATGGAATGTGGGAAGGAACCATAGCAAATTGAGATCACAAAGGCAAAAAACCTGTCGACATTTGCTAAGCATTTGTCACATGCGCAAATTGCTTCATGTCTGCAGTGTGTGGGAGACTGTGCTTGTAGCGAGCAAAATGCACCATGTCCGCGGAGTTTTGCTCGTCAGATCGGAGCGATGGTGGCAAGTTAGTTGCACGACTACTGAGTCTTGTGCTACGGTGTATCACGGCAGACATGATGCGATTTATCAGTGCGAAAAATGGTGTGGGAATGTCGGCTGATGTTTTTCATTTGTGGCAAAGGTTTGCCAATGTAGCATGTAAATGGCAAATAGTGCACATTAGCAGCCATAGTGAAACATTTTCGACATGAAATGCCGTGGTTGCAAATATTTGTCGCATGTGTAAGAATTCAGTCGACATTTACACACAATTTTCTACGTTGATAAATCGCACCATGTCTGCCGTGTATGTGGCCAGGGCCGTGCATGTGAGTTTGACACACACGCTAAAACTAGGCGCGAGCGAACCTTGGAAAGGCAAACTTGGTTGAAGAGGCGCCGGGCGCCGGTTCCAAATGACACGAAAACTCAATCACAGTAGCGGAAGATGCGGTGTGTATCACTTATGCGAACGTAGCTCTATATTACATCTCTGCAGCCTCATGTTGGTGAACAGCAACAACGCAGGCAAGAGCCAAATAGGATGTATCACTTAAAGAAACGAACGACTTCGAGAATTGTCGTAAAATGATGAATACATGTTGCAGCTACGGGAAGCTGTCCCAGACTTCTTCCATATCATCTCAAGACCCCGCCCAGACGTTGGGCCCTCGTTCTGTTGCCGTACACGGCCTACCGCAGGGTAAGTCTCTGATCCGCCACGAGATGAAAACATCGCTGACTGTGTGGGTGCGTGCGTTGTCAAAAATGAGGTTGAGGCATCCACCATCTGAGAAGAACCGTCGCCAGTGAGGGCAGCTCCAGCGAGTGCAGGACATGGTGCGGATGTCGTCGAACGAGAAACCTCGGTTTTCGTACTTTCTCCTTGCGGTGAGTGCCTTACCGATAATCACTGATGGTGTATGAGCAAATACCGCGACGGCTGAGAAGACGTGTGGGGTATGCCGACACGATCGCATCAGCGGAGATCGCGTTCATGATGATGGTCGACCTAAAGAAGCATAGTGGGTAAAAGGCCGATTCGTTGTGGCTACTGTTACGAAATGTACCATCGCGCATGGTCACGTGGTTCCCATGAATAAGCGCCTAGAAGAGACGCCCAATCACGGTCAGGTGATATCAGTCACTATGTGACCGAAGACAGCTTCTAGTCACTATGTGACCGAGGACAACTTCTAGGGTTCTCAAACTCTAACCCCAGGATCTGCGATCCAGGACTTTGGTTCTCATTTCATATTTCAGGTATTTCACCTATGCTTTCCTTAGCTCGCCAACTACCTGGCTCGCAGCAGTTACGCTCCGGTGTGTTTCACCTATCTTTATCACTGAGGCAGTGTAAAGGACCCCTTGTACTAGTACCCCAGACTATAGGTCTGCGACTATATAAAGGGGCGGAGCAGCAGCTGGAAGATAACCTCTTCCATGTCACAAAGCACCAAAGCACTTAACCCAATTAAGGGCAAGTCTGCTTTTGTGACCTGCACAAATGATCCCACATAAAAAGCCTGCCACAAGGG